ACTACATACTTTCCTCCATGTAGATGCAGTTCCATTGAGGACTACACGTTGAGTGTGGTTGGTCAGCCAGTTACAAATCCATCTGCTGGTGATGCTGTCTAATTACATTACCTAATTATATTAAATTAATTAAATTAAGTTAAATGCACCAACCCTTTGAAATCCAGAACTAGCTCAATCATTATCGAAATCCTATTATCATTACTTCACTAGGTTATGTCTCATTACCTTTTCATAAGGTAAACGTTATTGCGTGGAAAGTCTGTCTGGAAAACAGTTATTACTGTACAACTGTTGCACAATGAGCCCACATCTCAAGACTCATAAACTTGATTTGTGTCATATTTAAGAACTTCAGAAGAGCCTTTGCAACTGGTCTCTCCACAGTTAGTCAAAGGCAATTTTCATATTAGTTTCAGCCAATATGAGCTCTAGCCCTTTAAAGTCTTAGTGACAGTTATTCATACCCTCCTCACCATAAGCCTGCATTACCACAACAAACTTTCATGCCCAGAAACTGCATTTTCTCCAACTGCAAGTTGGAGGAATACGCAGCAGCCATCTGCCTGGAAATCAGAAAATATTGCATAGTTCTAGCACCAAAAGCTCACATCTCAAGACCCACCACCTGAATTGCTTCATATTTAGCATCTAAAGAAAAACTTTTGCAACAAATATCTCCACAATTAGTCAATTCTCATACCAGCATCTGCTGAGATGCATCAGCTTCGGCCATAATATTTTACTACTAACACATAATCCCAACATATTTCACTATTCAGAAAATGCAGTTGGTGCAGAATGCAAGCAGCCTGTTTGCTGGTGAGTAAGAGCTGCTTCAGTGATTGATAAAGTTGTATTTTTAAAAATTCAAAACATAAAATAAAATTCTATGTGTTGGTTTTAACCTGTGTAGCCTTTTACATGGCTTGGCTCCCATTTACCAATGAGGCTGTTACCTTCAAACAGAATCTATAGGGTTCCTGTGCATTCGGGATGGGAGAGGAAGCTTGGAATGTATTTCCTTTCACAACAGAACTTGGCTATGAAGTGAGACCAGAAACAGGCCTTGTCAGTTATGGAATAGTCTACCCCAAAGAGGTCACATCAGCCCCACAGAGTTATCTCTTAGGAAGGCAGTGAAGATTGTTTTATGACAGGGAATGAAAAATGATTTTTTTAGTCTTTTTATTTCTGAATTGAAATGACATTTCATTCTTTATTTTCTTTTAAAATGTGAATTTATGGAAGCATATTATAGTTTTATGGGGCTTAACAGTTCTTTTTTTATGGTGGTTAACTGTTTTGTTTGATTTGTATAGTTTTATTATTGTGAACCATCTTTTATCCCACTATTTGAATATGGTGAGATATAAATTATGGAACAACAAACCAAAAAGAATGAACCTATTTGCATAGAATTAAGAAAGTCTCATATTTTCAATAGTTCATTGAAAGTCCTACAAACTAGGAAGAAGAGAAAGAGCTTCTTTATAAGGCAGAGAACTCATGCAAAAGTTACAGAAATGGTATTTCTGTTCCCTGTTTTTTCAAGCACTCATTTCCTTGCTACCCCTCATGTATGACAATAACATAATACAGAAAATAGTGTCTTGCTCACAATTAGCTACAAATACCCAAGCAAATAACCATGTAGATCTAAAGCAGCTGGCAAATTAAATATAAAAATGTATGTTCTTACAGAAACTTATTACTTTGTATACTATTACCAGCCTTAAATGCAAAAATGCAGAAAACAAATATTAGCACAAGATAGCAAATCATAGTCCCTCCTCCAATACCAATGGAATTCTTCATTTGCCAGATAAAGCCTTAAGATCTCCCCAAATCTCCACCTTGAAAATCAACATCTCGAAATCCATGGCTGCTATTGGCTGAATAAAGGATTATTAGGCTCATCTAGTCCACCTTGTCAGCATCAGGTCATTTTGTACATGAAGATGAAATCAGGGTAATTTAAATTTGTGAGTCAAAGAAGCCTAGAAGTTAGTTATGGCCCAACTGTGGCAGAAAGCAATAATGCACATATGTTTTATTGGATAGCTGACAGACTCTTCCATCTCCAACATAAAGCACCCATCTCTATTTTGAAAGCAATAAAAAAGAACATAAAGCACCCATCTCTTGACAGAGGGTGCCATTGCTATTAAATTGGTAAGAGATAATATCAGTCACTGAGTAAAAATTAGTTGCTCACACAGGAAAATTGGGGAAAATGTACTATTTTTTCCTGACACTTTGGCAGTGGACATAGCTGTGCTGATAAATCCCGTTTCAAGGATTCTCTCTTTTCTATAATTAAAGATCTAGGACCACTAAGACACCACTGCATAATACTCAGGGTGAACTTTGGTTATTGAAAATGTAGAGTCATTTTCGCATCTCTAGAATCTCATTTCTTTCATGTGGAGATGACATGATATAACGCAGCTGGTCACCTGTGGTCAGTGAACACTGGAGACTCCAATACACTATGGCAGGGGTGTCAAACCTGCGGCCCATGGGCTGGATGTGTCACACACTGGCCACGCTTATCCCCGTTTTAGCAAAGGGGAAAAAAGTCGAGAAACACCACATGATGAAAACATGATGTCACGAGTTTGACACCCCTGCACTATGGCATCCTAGGGGATCAGAGGTGGTATTCAGCCAGTTCTGACAGGTTCTGGAGAACCGGTAGCAGAAAATTTGAGTAGTTTGGAGAACCGGAAAATAGGCTGGGCCTTCCCCTGCTACCTCCCAGCTGATCTTCTTTTGTTGCCCTGAACAGAACAGAGCTGGAAAGCAGCTTAGTGGGGTGAGGAGGGAATGCGGATTTTGCAGTATGCTTCCCCCTGCCATGCCCACAAAGCCACACCCACAAAGCCACACCACGTCCACAAAGACACAGAACCGGTAGTAAAAAAATTGGAATCCCACCATTGTAGGGGATGGTACGACCTTGTTGATAATAAACATTGTAAGATAGAAACTAGCATAACTTACCATTTTGTCCAGAAAGATCACCAAATCCTGAGGTAAATAAGCAAAAAAAAAAAAAAAAAGTCAGGCATTGACAATCAAGTTCTTGAGAAAAACCCTCTTATTTTGTCTTCCACTGCTTAGTCCATCCTGGGCCAGCCCAGGCACATTCAGACTGAGAGCAGGAGGAACACAACATCATGCATGTTCTCAACGCTATTTGCACTCCATTGGAATTGAATTTTAGCAGATCATAAAAGTGCACTTTGGGCATGCAGCCAATTCAATCTACCTAGGGTAGACACTATCTTATTCATTCAAAACCTGAAACACCCTCAGTATATGAAATGAAATTTTCCTATGCCTCCCACTGGTCACCTTCTGAATCATATTCCACTGTGTTTTGACAGAAGTGTGGATGCTTTCCAAGCTGAAGTTTAACTTTTCTAACTTAGGCTATTTCCTATGTCTAGATGGGTTCAGGGTAGGTGGGGACAGTCTTTCAGTAGAAACCTGCATCTTTTACTAACTCTTACACACACACACCCTACCCCCCAGTGCAATTGTTCCCTGCCCTGTCCTTCTCTGCATGGAGAAAATGACTCTTCCTAATGATGGACTTCACTCAGCGATGGCATTTACTCCTGGGCTGCAGAATGCCAGATACTGTATAAAAGCAAATAGCCCTTTTAGATTCCTTAATACCGGTTTAACAGAAAGCAGATAGATAATTACACGTATAAGCATCGCATCTGCTGCTTTGCCTATCAAATGGCTTAATTGTTCTTGCAACCAAAAGTATAATATAGGAATCTCACTATTAGAATGCTGCCCATGAACATTGTATTCCAAAACCATAATTATAATCCTACAAATTCTCACACAAATCACCACACTTATTTAAAATGTTCAGGAAGTCGATGTTTTAGAGCTGTATGAACTAACAATTCTCAAGTGTGGATTTTTTAGTGGAATTGAAAAAGTGACTTAAGGAAATCACTCTCATTTAGCTTTAAACAGCTTTGGTAATATGGAGGAGAAAAAGCTGGCTAAGTTACAATTCCTGTAGTATAAATTACTAAGAATCCATGTGATGTGATATATTTACCTAGGAAAAACCAGTAACTTTTTTATTTTATAATCCACAATTCCTAAAAAATAAATGGGCTATGATATATACCAGGGGTGTCAAATTTGATTTCATTGAGGGCCACATCAGGGTTGTTTGACCTCGGGGGGCCAAGGTAGGAGTGACCAGGGTAGGCGTGGCCAGGGTGGGTGTAGCCAGGTCCATGTCACTTGTGTAAGGGGTACCTGTGGTGATCAAGTGCTAAAGCAGGACTTCCTTCAGACCATCCCTCATTCTCAAAATCTCCTTCCCTCCATCCTTCTTTCTTCTTTACCTTTCATTCCTTGCTCTCTTCCAATCTTTTCTTCTTTTTCTTTGTCTTTCCTCTCTCCCTTTCTCCTTTCCTGTCCCTTCTTGCATGCTCAAATGCAAAAGGGAAAACATTTCTCCTTTTATTTTGTTTTTAGTTTCTTTTGCTAGACCTCTACCAGTGAAAATGGAGCTCAGGGAGGGGCATGTGCGCCCCCCCCCCCAGGACCCTGTTTTCGGCCTCCTGCAGTCATCTGCCATCCTAAAAAGAGCTCAGAGTTCCATTTTCACTGGCAGAGAGCTGCAAGAGGCCATCCAGGCTGAAAGCGGGGCCCAAGAGGGTTGCACAGGGCTCTCCCAAGCTCTGTTTTGACTGGCAGAGGCATCGCAGGCCCGCCCTTTCTGTATTTGCAGCT